CGTCTATTTTTTGTAGCCAAGATTTTTATATCTACATACATTAAGAATTTCAGTTTTAGAGTTTTAATAGCTGGTTAGGTTGATCATATAAAGCTATGGCTAATTTCTCCTCAGCACATAATTTGCAAAATTTATGGCCTGCTTTATATTTTGGGCATTTTTAAATATTTCCCATTTAAGGATGGTGTCTATATTATCTTCTTGTTTGGTTTTACATAATGTAGGTAGATAGCGTGGTACTATGTTTAATTTACAAATATTCTTAAAACTAATCGTGTGGTTATAATATCTTTTTTAAATTTATCCTGAGTAGCACCTATGTATGTTTTTAGGTTAGTATCCTCAGTATTTTGTAAATTTTCACTAAATACACTACACATTCAATGACAGGCATTTTCCTGTAATGGACAGATGATTTTGTTTTACAATTTTAAGTAGGAGGATTACGGACGTGGATCATTCCTAGTTTTTTTCTTATTCAATCCATTTATAATAGAAAAATTGTTCGCATACAACAATAACTAAGTTTTACATTGTTTTTTGTTAAATATTTTATGTAACTCCAGTTTTTTTTGGGGAAATGTTGCTCCAGTAAATTAAAAATATCTATACCAATTTTAGTTTTTATATATAAATTGAGAGGGGATTAAACCAAAAATTTTTGTTTTGCCTATTATGTCTATTCGAGTAATGTTGTATTGTCTATATATATTCTAATTTATTTTTTATGTCCACTTAATTAGGCTCACCTCAAACTTATTTCATGTTATTATAAAAAGGTCCCTATGGGGAGAAATTATTTAGAAAGTCTATACCCTATATATATATATATATATATATATATATATAATTAACAATTTACATATTTATATCTATATAAAATTTTGTTGTATTAGTGATCTTGTATACTGCATACAAAATTTCGATGTTCACCCGTAAATAGAGATCAATGTATACGTATTTAACAAAATATGTATATGTATATGTTGCTATGTATATGTATATGTATATATGTATATGTATATATGTATGTGTGTACATATATATATATATATATATATGTGTGTATATGTATATGTATATATATATATGTATGTGTATATATATATATATGTATATATATATATATATATATGTATGTGTATATATGTATATATATATATATGTATATATATATGTGTATATATATGTGTATATATATGTATATATATATGTATATATATATATATATGTGTATATATATATGTGTATATATATATGTGTATGTATATATATATGTATGTATATATATATGTATATATATATATATATATATATATGTATATATATATGTATATATATATATATATATATATATATATATATATATATATATAAATAACAAATGCATACTAATTATAAAAAGATGAACAGATACTAAAAATTTAGTAAATTCTAATATATCAACTACAGATCCTAGCAAAAAAAATTAAATTAATCATATACTACATAAATCTAGTATATCCAACTTACTATGCAATGATTCTTCTCCCCGATTAGCGATTTTGCAAAAACCAACATAGTTAATAGAATTCAAGTGCCCTTTGGGAGAGTGTATCTCCAGCGAATTAAATAATATTTATGTTGAATTTTTCACAAACCTAAACTTTCATGACTTGACACTACATCTTAAGCCAGAAAACTCTAACATTTTAGGCATTTTACCCACATACGGATTACCTAATTTTTCATAAATATATATATATATATATATATATATATATATATATATATATATATATAATAAATTAATTGATTTAAAAATATGTTTTTTCCGCTACAGTTCTAACCATGTTTCAAAAATGGAAGCGAAAAGCCACGAATTTAATTTTGCAATTAAATTAAGAGCATTAATATATATGTATATACAGAAGCCATTGGATTAACCATATTTAAAAATATCCATGTGGTTAATGGTACGCCATGTATGCATGTGTTAGATATCATATGTTAGTGATGACTATTTACATATATGTATATATAGGAAAATATCCGTATATTGTTTTGATATATTTGTTATTTACACATGTGATAATGGCTTAGTATGTAGAAAGCTTAGATTTAAAAAAATAATTTAACATTGTCCTTTTTTTTATCGGTTAATGGATGTACCAAAAATAACAGGAAACAGGTGTTCTGGCATTTTGATATATATGTATATAGAACTGTGTAGCGGATAAAAAACATATTTTAAAATCAATTATATTTATAATATTAATGTATATATAATTTACATTGAGCATATTTTGTAAAAAATAAAATATCTATAAGAAACAATCAATATATTATATATATATATTCTTTTATTTAAATATATGGTATATATATATATATATATATATGTATATATAATATATATGTATCATATATATGTATATATATATATCTATATATATATTCATGTATTCATTCATTCATTCATCTATCTATATATATATATATATGTGTGTGTGTGTGTGTGTGTGTATATATGTATATATATATGTGAAATTTTCATAGAAGGATGCTGAAAAATCTAGGTTCATTGGTTCTTTTTACACGAGGTAAGGCATCTCTATGATATGGTCTTTCTGAAAGAATGTGGTTTTAATCCTGTCAAAGTCTTCGGGTATTTTCGATATTTGTTCTAAGACATTCACTGGTAAATGTTATTTACTGAAAATGATGGCAGTATCATTTGTTCTCTACTTTGTATCTATGTGTTAAATAACGTAAGTAACATAAAATGTCTTTTAATAAATAATTAATGGACCTTACATTCGACACGCAGAGCAGTTATGAATGCGTACGAGATTCATGGCAGATTGAGTTTATGCTGCACCCTGGACCTTGTTCACTGATTGGTTCTTGTAGCCTAGAGGCAAGGCACGTCAGCGTGAGCATGACGCGTTCCCGCATAGATGCAGGTTCGAATCCTCTGCCTCAAAGAACTAATATTTTCACAGGCAAAATTTTCTAATATTCAGTATCGGCAAATGTTATTTATCACTGTTTATCATAAACAGAGCATTTAGCTAAACACTTTGTATTCTAAACAAAACAAACTAAATGATAAAAATAAAAACATACATATATATATATATATATGTACATATATATATATATATATATATATATATATATATATACATATGTATGTATATATATATATGAATATGTATATATATTAATATATATATATATATATATGTATATATATATATGAATATGTATATATATATATGTACATATATATATGAAATATGTATACATATATATGTATGTATACATATGAATATGTATATATATATATATATATATATGTATATGTATATATATATATATATATATATATATATATATATATATATATATATATATGTATATATATATATATATATGTATATATATATATGTATATATATATGAATATGTATATATATATATGTATATATATATGTATATATGTATATATATGCATATATGTGTGTATATACATATATTTATATATATGTATATATATATGTGTATATATTTATATATATGTGTGTATATATATATATATATATATATATATATAGGTGTATATATATATATATATATATATATATATATATATGTATATATATGTATGTATATACATCAAAATCATTAACCTTTGTATTTGTTTTTTGTATGAATAATTCATGAATTTGTAAATTAATTGCACTTTTATTGAAATATATATACATATATATATGCATGTAATGAAATAAAACATTGAGAAATTAGAAAAACAAAAGAAAATCTAAAATTAAAAAAACACCTAACAAAAATTACTTTTCCTCAAGAAACATCAAACTCAAAATACTTCAAAGTGAATAAAAATGAATCGAAGTGAAATGGATGAAATTATAGCGTGTAGGTTTGAAACTATTATTGAAAATTCTCCAAACGAAACACACACACCCCACACACATCAAACACAAAATGAACACCCTTATACCCCAAAGGACATATACAATAGTGCCAAATAGTTGCAAACATATACACTTACGTACATACACATGCGGTATCATCCATACATTCATGAGGCATGTATGTATAATGCCAGCGTATATTTAACTGTCTTTAGATTTCTGCTACCTCGCATGTCAGTCCTCTCCTGGCCTCTTTCACTGTATCGTTCCTTTCGCTTCTGTTATCTTTTAATGTAGCCAAGGGTCATAACAAATATGTATCCATTATTTGACATTAAATGTAGGCAATGCAACTTGGTAAAATAAGTCTCATGAAAGATAACTGGCAGATAATCTAATTTGAAAGCCTTGTCTCTCATGTTAGATATAGTCATTGGTAATCAGGCTCGCAGACCGGATCCGGACTGCAGGTCGTAGGTTGGTGACCCTTGATATAGAGGCTCTGTGTTCCTCTGCAGTGCTGTTTTCCTGCTGTGATGAGTCTTTGATGTTGGATCTCTTCAAAATTTGCAGAGATTTGTTAACATGAGCAATTTCTGGCATGCTCCTCCAGTTTATTTGGTTTAATCTTGCACCATTGATGGTTTGTTAAGATGTCAACCCTGATGCATTGGTGGTAAGCCTCTCAGGTCTTTTGTTACAAACTAACTAACCATAAAATCGGTGTTTTGTTATATGGATAACATTCCCCATTCACTAGCATTGGGCCTTGATAAGCACAGGTTTGATACTTGTGTGTTTGAGGTGTTCAAGGTTGGTGACATATATCTGCCACTGGATTTTGAGAATGAAACAAAGTGTCCAAAGAATATTTAGTGTTTTAATAACTTTTCTCAGAGTATAGAGGACACGGTATTTTTGACAAAAAAAGTGAGGCTGATTTTACACTCTTATGCAAATTTGTCTGATTTTTTTTTATTTGACATCTCTCTTGACAATAAAAACTTCTTAAAACATTGTTAAATGTCTTAATTTGGATAAAATATGTTGAATTTTTTATTTTAATTTCTTCATATTACAAAGATCAACACTCTCGTAAGCCTTTTGGAAAAACGTCAGCTGACTGCCAAGGAATTAAAAAAGGTCTTTGATAACATCAAAAGTGAACAAGACAAGCAGCGTCGAGAATATCTTCGAGTAAAAGAAGAATTCCAGATAATTCGGACCAACAATGATGAGGCATTTGACGAAGACAAAGAACTCGAAGGATTTCTCTTTCAGTTGCAGATGCGATTTGACGAATTGGAAGATAAACATAAACATCTGCAAGAAAACCAGAAGGAACCTTTTCAGGAAATTGCAGATCAGGAAACTGAAACAGACACCTGTCCCAAAATAGTTGCCAATTTACAGAGTAAGGATGAGGCTGAGAAAAAGAGACAAAAATTCCTTTCTCAATATAATTCTTTGATGGAACGATATCAAAGATTGAAAATATCTGGCAACTTGAATGAAAATGATGAAGAAGTAAAAGAAATTAAAAAGGTATTCATTTTTATCAGTAAACACCTGTAAAGATTTCATTATTTTGTTGGTATTTACTTTGAGAATATGTTTCTGACGCAACAATAAAAAAATATTAATTTAAAATGACCATTTGCACTGCAGCTACAGATATGTGAGAATGTCCAGTTTAGCTAAAATGAAAAACATATTCAGAATACACAATTTATCATTTCAAATGGAAATTCCTGCACTGAAATAATTTCTTCTCACTGTTTAGTTTACACATTAGACCCACTATGAACTTATAAGTATTTTAATCTCAAACATCCATATTTAGACTTTACTGTAACAAAGTGACTCCATACTCTCCCATTACTATAAAGCTCCGTACCTGACAATAAGGACAGTCATATTCTTAAGGTAAAATAGAAGGTTAAATTAGAAAATTCATTCAAAATTAATAAAGAATAAAAGGTATGGATGAACAAAAAAACATAATTCTTAATAAGGGGAGACTTTGGAAAACATGAGTAGATTGAAAAGGCTTAAAATCAAAATACCAAGTGTGGCAAAAGTAACACCATTTTTTATTGATTAACTTTTATTGAATTAAAATAAATTACAGTAGTTTAAGAAAATATATAAGTATTGTCACATCAGAACAACATGATTTGTTATGAGGATTTTATAACTGTAGCTTAGATATGGCACATGGTCACAATTATGGAGCAGTAATTGTTCTCACGAGATAAGCTTGCTAATCATTACACCACATCAAGGTGCCCCCAATATTATTTGTTATGATTAATAATGTTCAAAATGCTCCCCTTTATGGTTCAATACAATGTTGAACCCTATCAGCAACACTTCTACAAACCATTTGACACATTTCTACATTAACTTTTAAATTCATGCATTTTTCTCACAGTTCTTTTGATGACAGTTTCAGTTTTATTGTGACATAATTTATTTCTTATAACAAATGTCAAGTCAATGTTCATGTTAAATTTCATTAAATGCCAACATGATTTTTTTTATAAAAATTATCTCTCCAATTTTCTTACTATATTTTATTTTAAAACATTAAAGTTTACCCAGAATCTTTTATTAAAATTATACTTGTCCTTCAGAAAAAAGGATAAATTCTGTTTTGTTTTATAAATGATGGCAAACAATTTGTTTATTTTTATAGAAATTGCAGGAAATTAGTGAAGAACTCTGCTTGAATGAGCAAGAGCATCAAAAATTGACGATGTAAGTTAAAAAAATTTGTTCTTCAAAGAATTTTAATGTTTGGATGATGTATGTAACTTTAAAAATCAGTCTTGGAAATGTTGGCATATTAACAAACTCAACTATAGATTCTTTCATGTGCCATGTCCATTCAGGACATAAATAATAATGTCCCTCAACAACTTCCCATTTCTTGTAGCTCTAAGCAATATTTGCCCCCTTACAATCTCTACTAGTTCCAATTTTTGCATCCATTTACACAAGCTTGTTATGTAGATTACTCACTGTTTCCCCTTATCCCTTTAGCCAGTAGTATGTTCTATGAGTGTCAAATTCTTCAAGCCCTCCTTCCTCATTATGCGTTCTAGAAATTTCAACTGTATTTTTCTGATCCTAAATCCATCCAAGTGTTGTTTTTACTCCCATTTTCCTTAAAACTTCCTCATTGCTCACATGCTCTATCCATAGTAATTTCAGCATCCTTCTTTACAACCACATACCTGTTGCCTCAATTCTCCTTTTCATCTGTGAGGAAATTGTTCTGTATTCACTGTAATATAGGAGAATTGATATTATATAGTAGCTAACTTTGAGATGAGTCATTAATATTGCAAATTTTCACAACTGAATTCCTTCACTAGTTTTTCTTGATGCTGTAATTCTATTGTTTTGATCAACAGCTGTCATTAGCTGTCATCAATTTGTTACTCAAGAAGAAATAAGTGAACTGATCCAATTACTACAGACATTTTATTTTGCCAGAATCTTTTGAAGAAATAGTTTTTCTTAATCTTTTCTTATGGATTCTACACTTGACAAAGACTCAAACATGGATTTTCCCAAACAGTTATAATAATATCAAGAACATGAAAATGGAATTCAATTGATAAAGTCTGTTTTTCAGAGTCTTTTTATAATAAACTCTTGTACCGTTCCAGAAAATAATTTTGGAAAATGAAATTGAAATATTTAAAAGTTAATATTCTCATTATCATCATTCTTTTTTTGTGAGTTTATCAAGTGGATAATTAATATTTTACAAGTAGAATACAAAGCATGTGAGAAAGACCTCCATTTTTGTTCTGTTTTGAGAGCTGAGGTTTTCTTCCATAATGTGAAACATGATTCTGATTCAAAAACTTCAACTACGTAAATAGCAGGTTTTGGGTGACTTGCATGGAGACTATTATGAATGTAATGAGGTCAGTCTTTATGAGGTGTTCCATATGTGTAGCTTCAGGGTGAATTAAACTGACTAAATGTCAATTCTACATTTTGAAATATTATGGCTTCATTCCTAACATTGGAAGATGACTGCTTTCTGGACTGTTTTGAAATTTATTTCACAAACAATGCTATACAAAATATTGTTTTAGATTTAAATTCATTTTTTTTCCAACAGTGAATTTATACTTTTATAAGAAGTATGTTAATGGCAAACCTCAAATGCAAATTCACTCTTATCTATGATAACAGCATGTCAGAGCCTCATTAGTGAAAATTAGTTTCATATATTATTAGAGACCAGTTCAGAAATAAATTATTAAAGATTCTGGTTCTGAATTATTAACCAATATTAATTGTACAGTTCAACTAATGATATGATTTCAATTTCATCACATGGACTAAAAATTGTCAGCATCTGCTTGTATCTGAGCATTAGAATTATCATCCTCTTTACTTATTCTGTTTTTCTCCCCTGGTGATGGTGGCAGAGATGGTTGTGGATCAGAGAGAGTTTGACTAGGCCATTTGTATAAATTTGATTTTAGTGGACAACTGTGTGACAGAGAAACCCATGCAATTAGGCAGAAGCACCTCCCTCACAGATGAAAGGGGATTGAGCTAGATGAGACCTGGCAAACCTGATAGCATCAGGCTGTCAGATGCTTGGTTTGTCAAGGTCCGCCTTGGTTACACCAAACCGAATAGCACTGCCCTCTTCCATAGGAGTGTCTGTTGAAATCATGTAGATCTTTGTCTATTCCATCCTTGGGGTCTTCGAACATTGGTCGCATTTGTCTGATCCCTCTTTCTCGACACGCACTTGGCCAGAAGCACCTCCTTCACGGCTGAAACGGGATTGAGAAAGACAAGACTTGGCAAACCTAGGCTCTCAGATGCTTGGTTTGTCAAGGTCCGCCTTGGTTACACCAATCCGAATAGCACTGCCCTCTTCCATCAGCTTGGCTTTTGAGATTGTGTAGATCTTTGCCTATTCTGCCATTGGGGTTTTCAGAAGTTGGTTGCATTAATTTGGTGTTTCCTCTTCGACCTTACCACCATGGGTAACCCTAGAGGAGTTGGAACTCGAGAAACCTTTGCTCTTGGGATCACTGGGACAAATAAGCCCTTTACCAGGACAAGAGACAACCATATATATTTTACACTGAATGTCAGACTGAGAAGTTCATTATCAAATAAGAGAAATGAATCAATAAATAAGAAAAGAATAAACTAATAAAATTATCATTATATACAAGAGAACATTTTTTTATTATTGTTGTTGCTAAAAATAAATATTTGAGAGATAAATAATGTTATATTCCTTGCTAATAGGAATATATACTTAACAAACATGGTGGATAAATAAGTAAAGGTTTATTGTAAAAATAAGTACAATAAGAATAAAGGTAACAGTTGTGCACACGATCGTCGCAAGTCAATCCAGTAGTGAGTGCTACTGTTGGAAGGTTGGTAGTTCTCACATAAGTCTGAGTTGTACTCAACAGATCCCAGGTAGTATATTTAGCTACCTCCCCCCACAAGGGTTGCATGTGGCACAAGGCCGGTTTAACGTGGGTTCTCTGAGCCCGTAGGCTTGGCCAAAAATATTCCCTTTTTGAACCCGCATAAACGGGTTCAGGAGCAGTCTACCTCCCTGAACAAGACTCTGCCCTTCGGCGGAGCCTTGTCTGGGTTCCTCTCTGCCTTTGGGCAGAGAGTTCAACTGTTTTAGCTGGAACAGGTCGCAGCTAGACTCTGTAGTCCATTGACTTACAGATACTTATAGGTAGTTACTACCTATAGTTTAGTCACTCATGTAGTCACTCATGACAGGTTATTCCATTATATCAAATAATAAAGGAAGAAATTCACTATTGAACAAAAAAAAAATAATGTTATGACTCGAAACACTTTTTCTACAAATGTAGACTAAAAATGGTTGGCACCTAATTGTAAAATTGCCTATGGAAGTCTAGTAACTCCTATAAATATACAAAAGATGAACATCTTTGCACCATGAAGACCTAAAGTAATTTTGTCATTCATATTGAATCAAAATAGCACTTATCCTCAATATTCAAAAATTGTTGTTCAATCATTTTAATCATTTCTGGCTTAATCAGAGAGTGCTAATGAAAGAATTTTCTTAAAACCCTTTTTTTTTGTTGCTATCTTTCTTGTCCAAAAGCCCACATCTTCCTTGCTTAACCAGTCATAATGGTGATGGCCACTGGGATATTTTATTAAATATTCTTCCTCCCATCTTCAATCAACAAAATACTGTGATGCAAATATTAACCCCTTAAAAGTGTGTGTGTGTGGGGGGGGGTATGCATTCAACTCTTCATCAAAAATATAACAGAGTGATTAAAAGTGGACCAATAAGTCTGAATTTTGATCAGAAATGTTCACTGTATAAATTTGGATGTGTGTGATAAGTATAAAAATGTTAAGTGCAGTGACAATGAAGTGGGAAAATTATAATGTGTTGTGTGAAATAGTTTCTTTTTTTTTTTTTTCATCATTAGGCTATGACCTTATCAATTTACCTACATAAGTCCAAGCAATAATTCTGGTGAAATTACCTCCTTTCCAAATAATGGAGTCTACCACTTGTAAAATAAATGCTATTATAATCTGAATAGCATAAAAGCTGAATGAAACTTCTAATACTCTTATCTTTATTATGATTTATTCTTTTTATCATGACCATCACCGCTTGGCCTTTGGGATGGGATCAATGTATAGTATCTGTTGTCATTTTACAAAGGTGAAGGTATCTGGTCTTGGAGATTTCAACACTGTGACGGCATCTCCCTCTCTAGGATAGCGACCTGGTGTAAACATAGTACCAAGAGTTGACCTATTTTTGTGCTGGCCTGGCCGAGATCACAGGATATGATCAGTGCACATTGGTTGATCGAGGTCATGGTGGCAGGTCATTTCATTGATTGATATTTGCTGAGGTGACAGCATCGTTGATGGTGAAGGCTTGTTGCTTGGTGGTGTCTAGGCTGGATAGTTGGATGCTTTTGGCTAGTGTTTGTTAAGGTGACAAGGTTGCTGTTGATAAGGGCTTGTAACTTGGAGGAATTGAAGTTGAGATGTTTTCAAATTGAAGCTGGATAGCCAAGGTGGTTGGTCAAGCCTAGGAGTGGTAATGGTTCTTGAGAGGTATGGCTATGTTGAGTGGTGACAATGGCAGCAGTGCTTTGCATGACAACTGGTGGCATGCCTGGCTGCAACTGCTGGTCTTGTTCTCAAAGACCTGCTTTTAAGTGGGTCAGGTGGTCCCCAGGAGCATCTCTCTCTCTCTCTCTCTCTCTCTCTCTCTCTCTCTCTGATGGGAATGTTCACAATTGGCCACTGTTAGAGATTGCTTTGTAGACCAGATGTGATGCATGGAGCTTGATACACAGAAAACAACTTTTGTTATTTCATTCTCTGCCTTTGTGGTGTTCACATCCGGTCAGCATGCAAAATGAATCTGTGGCGGACATGAGACAGAACCTGGGACCAGCACAACTGGTTGCGACTTGCCTTGTCCCCGCCAAAAAAGAGCCCGTATTTGCTTAGCATGTAAAGCTACTGCAGTTGAAATGAGGGAGAAAAAAAAGCTTAACGCTCTGCCGTAATCCATCCTCGACCAGATAACTTAAAAGAATGAGGGGACTGCCATTAACATTTTTTATGCAATAACGATGCAATGCATTCTGGAACATGGACATAATGAATTATGGATCACGTGAAGATAAAGGGATTATGGGTATATGAACAATTATAAAAGAACTACTTTTTCCGAGTCGGGAGTTCTTCGAGAGACGTTCACGGTTGACGGCAAGAATGGGCAGTTAGTGTGACTTGGAGACAACTCAAGAAGGAACGACTCAAGTTTGAAATACCAGTTGGGAGAGCTTGAATTTACTCGCTGGTTACTATTTTCTTCATTCGCCTCAGAATCAAAAAGAGATCTAATTGTGATGGAGTATAACATTATCAAATTAAAAAGATATTACTCCAATAAAATATTTATAAAATGAGAAAAACTTTAAGATCTATATAAAGAATTGTGCCATCCTGGTATAACCCAAATGACGCATGGGTTCACTTGGATGAAGAAAATAGAAATAACTTAGAATATATCACTTAGCATGGATTTCAAATAGGTTACTCTTAAATACATCTCTTCCTATGACCCTAAATATAGCTTTATTTTGTTACTTTTTACATAACAAAAACTGTCATGGGATTTGCATTTTATCTGTAGCAAAAGCAAAGACTTCAGTTTTTTTACAAAGCCATTGTAACTACCTTTTTTGATTTGCACAAATTCAGTAAATATTCAGTTAAAGCAACAAACCCAATCACACCTAATTGGCCATAGAAACTGAACTGTAGTTGAATATGATATCCTAACAATGATGTTTCTAAGTTAATTTTCTCATCCTTTTTTATTCAAGATTTTTGGTCCACTTACAATTTTTGTAGAAGAATCTCACATGTAATTAAAAATGATGTTTATGTTGTTTTTATTGAATTCTAGAAGTTCTGATCCTGGTGGCAAAATAAAAAAAAGCCCTACAGTTAAGGTACGTGGCATTTTTATCACATATCTAAGAGTTTTATAAAAATGTACTGATACACCATTTTCAAGAAATAATGTCTCTCTATAAATTGCTATGAATTCTTGGGAAAGGTACCAGTGTAATTTCCTGTTGCCTTCTCTATATTTTGAAATTCAAAGTTTTCCCTCTTTTTGAGTAGTTGCTACCTAACACTAGAAAACCCAATCTATCCTGTTATTTAATCCATAGCTGAGACAGTGGTAGGGAGAAGAGATGGATTCATGCCTTTCTCAAGGTCATTTGTGCAAAAGTGAACACAACTGACTAACCCAAAATTAAAACCCTGCTCACAAATTCCATTTTCCCACCAATATCCATCACACAGAGTAGTTGGTTAAAAATGGAGAGTACACTGTGAACTTTTCTCTAAACAGTTTTATTTCCTGTTAAAACATTACTGGAATTTAAACATAGCAATTTATGGTTGCAACTATCAAATGAAATCATTAAGAACAACTTTCTGTTTAATTAGTAATTTTGCAATTTAGTAATTTGGATATTTTTGTATAGTGTTTTAGTTCCTTTTACTGGTACATTTAAAGGTTTTTGTTATTATGAAAAAATGTACCACAAAGAAAAAGAAACGGAAACTATTGCAGAGAGCAGCCATAAATCGGAAGCTGTGGAGAGTTATGAATTGTAGTGCATAGAGATTAATTGATGATTCTATATGTTTTCATGCTATAAAAACTTAGAAGGACACAGAATCATATTTTTTATTCAATTTTACATGTAGTATCATTAAAGGCACTTTATTAATTATTCCTAAAGTGTTTGCTACACATTAAGTACTTGGAATCAAAATTTAAACATACTTTAGATTTAAACAAGTTTGAACAAGTAAGCTGACCTAAAAATCTTGAGAATAAGAGAATTGTTTGTTGCAAAAATAAAGAAAAAATGTTTTTAGTAGAATCCAAATGACTTATATTTTTCTTGGCCAGTGTTGAATTCAATCTCTTACTTTTTTTTTTACAATGAACTAAGGAGACATTCATTTACTTTACAGATACACATACACACACACACACATATAAATAAAGACAAAAGTAAAACTTACCTTAACCGACGCATTTCGTACTCTGATGGTCATTATCAAGGCAAATGTAAGGATTTTATTTTGCAACAAATATTTATAAACAAAAGTAAAAATGTTGTTAGTTTTTAAAAAAATTTTAATTTAAGAAATGCTCATAAATATTCATGAGGTTAACAGAAAACACAAGGTAAATTATGGAGGATGCTAAGTGACATAATTTAATGTCAGATAAATGAAAGCGAGTAAATGATGTTGTTGAATTTTTTAATGTAATTAATATTTAAATAATTTTATATATAACATATACAATAATCCCAAATTAAAACAGTTTAAAAATTTACCCAAATTTATGATCAGAAGATTGCTTCCAATATTGAACACTCTTCCCCCATAAATACAGAAAATTTTAAAATATTGGTCATCCAATGCAAGATCCAAGAGCCACTCAAGCTAGAGGATTACTGAATGATGTTGTTATATGAAGATAGGACAAGGTAAGAAGTGCAGATTATGAGGATATGTGGGAAAGATAACAGTTGACTCTAGATTTGAAGAATTTAAAATTATAGTTATCAAAGAAGCATCCTCTGGGGAGTCTGTTCTACAAAGTTGTGGTTCTAGAGAAGAAGCTGTTCAAATGGAACTTCTTCCTTATCAATGGAATATGAAGCAGATGACGATGATTCATCTTAAAGTACATGGCATGGCACATATATACATACATACATGCATATATACACACACACATATATATATATATATATAATGGGGACCAGTTTGCTCTTGTAGAGTGCAAAGTCAAGTGGTTGGTAATTGAACTCACTTCCTCATGAGGCTTACCTGGAGGAGAGTGGTTTCACATACTGCAGAATAAAAAAAGAACTGCAATATCTGAGAGTAAATTAGGCTCTGCATCATTATGTTTAAGTCAAAGACACACTGATATAGCACCTGCAATCATAGCTACACCAGGTATCTTAATTTGATTTTTCTCTGGATTATGTAGTTGTGATGGAGAGGGTTGATGTGGTATCATGTAAGTCACATCCATTATTCTGCAACTGCATAGACATCACTCATCTGGTCTTGCATTCATTTGCTATTTCTGCTTTGACATCTTCGTCTCTAAAATGCAGTGGCAAAACATGCAGACTCGATGGGTTGGAGGCATGATTTTCACATTGCTTTCTGAATATAACATTGTTTCTTTGTATAAAAAATATAATCATGTCTGTCTGAGAAGAGTAGACCTTAAAAATCATCAAAGACACCACACATACACAGCTTCATTTATATGTTTGACCAATTTAGTGTAGGTGGCATAGATCAATTTTGGTACAGGAAACAGAAACATGAATTGAATTGTTGGGGTGAAAATTAAATTGGTGTGTTGATTGAAGACAGCATCAATGTGTGCCCAGAGAGGAAGACAGTGGCTGTTACTATGGAATTGAGTAGATATACTATTGATATTGTAGTGGGAGTCATCAAGAGAAGAAACTGATAGCAAATACATTTTTTGGAAAGGCAAGAAGTCTGTAATCTGCAAAGAAGCTGGGATTACATTGCACTAAGGTTAGACATTGGATCTCAGCTAGGAGAACTGCCATCTGGAAGAAAAGAGAGAATTATAACTGTATGCTTCAGGCAATTTGCTACAGTGTTTAACCTTTAGTACCCACTATGGGTTCTATTGAGAAACTGAAATCTTTCTAAGAACACCTTGGAAACTATTTAATATGCATACCAAATGAGGATAAAAGCATTCTTATGAGTGATTTTAATGCTTAAGTTCATGCTGATTGAAGACTGGCACAACTGCAATCTTCAAGAATATACCCTTGTATGTTAGTGACTTTATTGCCTTGCTTGGAGTAAAATGATTTAAAACAAAAAAACCTAGGCAAACACAAAATAACTTATCTTCTTCAGATGGGTGCAAAGTTTGGCCTCTTTTTGCATTTGCATATTTCAAACATAAACTGTCACACAAAGCCGCTTGAATGCACCCAGGTCAAAAAATTAGCATTTAATTGATCATATTGCTGCTTATTCTTGCAATATTGAGAACGTGCTTGATGTGTTGGCATATTGTCATGTAGACTGCTGATTGAGTCAATCAAAAATTTCATCAGGAGTAAGTTTAATAAAAATGAACAAAAGTGATAAAAAAAGTGTTATTAAAAATAGAGAGGGATTCAATATTGCATAAAGATAAGAAATCTTTCAAAATTACAAGATGGTAAAATTCTAGCTTCTCTAATGAAAAATCATATCTGAGATCTAAAGAGCAGTGTTCAGTATCAAGTACTATCAAGTACTATCAAGTAACAAAAGATATTTAAGTAATTACCAACATTCATAACACTAAACAATCTTCTCAAACAGATTTTGGGACAAAAAACATCAACAGTTACTCCTGTAAAAATCAAAAGATGAAAATGTGTTATACACTAAAGCTAGTAAAAAGATAAAGAGATTAATTCTTTTAGTTAACAGAGAATCAGATGTTAATTTTTGAGCAATTTGCAATTAAAAGCAGAGACCCAGGCTTAGATTTTTAGATGTCTCTTTAACTATGGAGGGACAAAAGGGCAATAAAAGCATTAAATTTATATAATGCATAAAAAAATGATGGTATTCCAGTTGATATCTTTGTCTTTAGCGGCAAACAACTAATTTCTGTTGTGTATCTGGTATCTGTGACACTTGGAGGAGAGAAACGGTACCTAAAAACTGGAACGTTGACATTGTTATGCCACTTTGCAGTGGTAAAGGAATACCTTATGAAATGTGATAACTACAGAGAAATTTCTTGTCTTTATTATTATATTTCATCTAAATGAGTGTTGCTAACACTATTCTTCCTGAATCTCGTGTGGGTTCAGACCTAACTAAGGTACAGTGGATATGAGCTTTATGGTTAGGTAACTGCAAGAAAAATGCATTAAACAAAATCAAAATTTGTATCAGATCTTTGTTAATCTAAGGTGGTTGACTCAATGAACATGGAGGCTCTTTGAATAATATTTCTAAAATTGTGTTCTCTAGATCATTTTGTGCCAATTATTAAGTCTTTTCATGAAAGCATTGAAGCTCAAGTGAATGTCAATGGCTGTCTAACTAATTCTTTGAAAGTTGGAAACAAGGTCTCATGTTTTCCACTGACATGAAGGGGAGAGTTTATATTAAATCAACTGCTAGGGCAGCTACTTGGAAATTTTGTTAACTATGTCGTGCCAGATCATTCTTCTCATCAAAATACATCTTGCACATTTATAAATCAACCATTTGTTTGTGCATTGAATGTTGCTGCCATATCAAGTCTGGTTCTCTTGCTATATATCTTGAGATTCTTGACAAAATCCCAAATGTTATTAGCTCTGACCTGGCATCTTGACTTCAGTCACTTTCTCATCACCATGATGTGACTTCCTTCTCTCTTTTCTACAAATGTTTTCATGTTCTAATGAGCTCTTCTCCTTGGTACCTCAACCACAGGAATTTAGCCATCCTAATAGTACTGGATTGGCAACAAGGTCCCATTGTTTTACTGTTCAAATAGTTAGATGTATCTTTAAGTTCTATTCTAATTGTTTCTTTTCTTGCATTTCTTGCCTCTGGAAATCTCTTCTGGTTTCTTGCTTCCCTGTCACCTATGATCTTAAAAAAATTAAATGCAACATCAATCACCATCTTCTGTCTTCCTGAATCCTCTTCTTTTATTGTCCTTTCTATTCAGTAAAGTCTTTTCATTATCTTTCATTGCCAATAACCCCTTTAGTTTTAGTGGCATTATCATCTTGCTTGGGGTAAAATGATTTAAAAAATGTTTACCAATGTGTCAATTTAGTCCTACTTTGTTTTCAATCTATTTCTCAATGATGATTGATGTATTGCATGGTTGTATGGCTGGTGTAGAAATCAGATATCATACCAAAAGTAAACTATTCAATGTTAACTGTCTTCAATCAAAAGCAAAACTATTAATTCAAGATCTCCTATATGCTGATGACTATAGTAAAGTCACACAATCCTAAGAGGATATGCAGTTATTAATGAACAGGCCTTTTCTGGTTCTTATAAAAATCATTTGATTTGACAATCAGTTTAAAGAAAACTGTTGCACTGTTTCAACCAACTTCAGAGAAATTGTATATAAAACTTGTTGGAAGCTGTTGAAAAAGTTTCCCTATGTTGGGAGTACTTTAAAACATTATAACACTTCAGATGAATTAAATCCTGACTAAAGAAAGCTACTGAGCTCTCAATTAAGTACTAATCTAGTAAACTACAATACCTGTGTTACTTTCAGTGATCCTATATTTGTGTGAAACACAGGTTCCCTGCCATCAGTACATACAGCAGGTTACCATCATTGTTATCTAATGCTAAATATCAATTTGTCTTACCAAATTCTAGACTGTTGAAATCTTTGAAACTGTTCTTGGGCTTGTGTTTTAGTCTCTGACTGATTTTAAGTTCATCATTGAAAATTTTCTAAGGCAACTGATCACCAACAAATCTTAACCCATTTGTATTTGATGTGTGTGGATAATTGTTTCTAAACATTTTGTTCATTCTTTTAGTAACTATTTACATTGAACTTTTCTTAAATTTCAAAATTGTTAACATTTGAAGATCATAAAATATGTTAAAAATGTTATTTTCTTTGAGTGAAACCCAAGTTTTGCCAAATTTGATCTCACAAAGAAAAGTAGTCAGATTTTAAATGAAACTCAAAATTTACAATTTAAAGAAAAACGTAGGTGAACATTATGCATAATGTCCAAAAATGAATGTTTTAATTTAAATATTTTATAAAGATAATATAGTGATATCCAAATGACTGCCTAATTGGCATAGCTAAGGTATAGACATTATATAAGTGCCCAAGCAGTAAGGGGAGGGTCAGAATATGGTATGCAAGATGTTGGATTAAGAAAATATGAAGGAAATTACATTTCTTAATAAAAATGATAATGATTAGATTACTTTATAAGCATTTTTAAATTTTAATATTTTCACAAATTTATATAACATTCAAAAATTTTATTTTATTTTTTTTATCCTAGAATCTGATTTCTGGTCACAATGTTGGCCTCTTAGAAGGTAAGTGCTTATTTCTTATCTGATATTCATTTGTTCACAGTAATTTTTTCTTAAAGTAGATATCAGTCTTCAAGACCTTTTACTATTTATTAGAATTTTTATTTTATTAAAAATTGTTTTTATAAAAGAGAACCAGAAGACAAACACAAGAAATGGAAATCAGAGAGTTGCTTCATCTCATTCCAAGAAATTGGATCAAAAAACCAGTAGAATTGTTAGAAGTTTGCCAGCACCACCAAAAGACTCATGTGAAACATCCAATAAAAAGGTAATGTTGCTTATTTTTTAAGCTTTATATTTCAATGTCTTTAACTGAACAATCTTGAGACCTGGCCGTTGCTGGACCAAAGAAAATGCCAGTACAGAAAACAGAAAAATATATTTTTTATATAATTTTTATGACTGAATTTATTATAAATGAAAATTACCTTTTATATTTTGTAATCATTTATATTTAAAATAATTTTCTAAAATTCAACAAAAATAAATTAATATATAAATAATTTTATACTAAAATAAGCATTGAAAATTTTAAAATTTAGAGATTTTTGATTCAGTTTCAAGCTGCAGTTAATTTAAAGTTTGGTTTGATGAATTGGTTTATAAACCACTAAATTATATTTAAAACAACAATTTGAAACTAATTCAAAGAACTGTAGTAATAGATCTACACACTGATGGCAATATATACAAAATATATCAGATTACAACAGTTGCCAGGCAACAGTGTAACAGATTAGTGAGTCACAACTTGTACTGGCATTAATTATTATTGAATAATCTGTGCTTTTTTAATAAGTTACATCCTAGTGATCTCTAAAAATGGAGATCTCAGAAGTAGATTTTGTTCCTAAATAAAAGAAATTCTACCTTAAGAAAATATGTTCTGCAAATAAGTCAACCATAAAATGAAACAAAAAAGCAATTTGCATCCAGAACAACAAAAAAATCTTAAAAGGACATATTGGAAAATATTCTTATCTGATAATGCAATAGATCCGAGAGGTGTGAGATCTTATTTTTTTAGTTGGTAGCAATGATAAAGCAGAGATATTTTATATCACAGATAGTTAAAACTTTAATTCAGTCATGATTAAATATGTAACAACACAAAAAATTATGGCATTTCTATTTTAGCACTGATTGCATTTAATCATGACATATAACAGCAAAAGGTTTCAGTTCATTGCTTCCCACTGACATTACATCTACTCCCCAACTTCTCTGCTTAGTTTTAGTCATGTTTTGCATTAATAAACAAAATATTTCTGGCAGCAGGAAAGACTTCTCAAGTTGAAACATGAAGAGCAATAAATTTAGATGTCATAAACTTTTTGGAAATGGTTACCATGGTTACTATTTGTCTGTCTTTGTGGCAGCAAATATTTTTTTTAAATTTTGACTTTAATATTCAACTGCAACTCAAAAGTATGAGTGTCTCTACTTGAAAAATTCTTTGTATGTCAAGTAGGTTTGGAAATTTAAAGAATATCTTTGTAATGAATAAACAACACCGAATATAAACTTAAGAAGCTTTATTCAGAAAAACTGAATCATTAGTAATTAAACGGCCTTTGATGCAGGGTTAGGGTTAGTATTAAAATCGGTAAGATGGGTTAGGTTCATTATTATCATGATCTTAAATTTAAATACCAGTTATCTCCTGTTAATTCCCATTTGCAAGTTCTCCACTGCCTTAACCGGGTATTGAACTCCCACTCTTTGAGTCCTGTCACTGGATCTAACCAACACCTTTATCCACTGTGCCATGTGTCCTTTATCCACCATGCCATGTGTCCTAAAGGTTACAGATATGATAATGATGCCAGCAAAGTACAAAGAAATGCAGAAGAGGTTACTTAAAAAAATTCTTCTTTCTATTTTGCTACTATGTGAGTGATATACATTGAAGTTGTGTAGCACAGATTCAGTAGAGTCCTATCCTGAAGCAGATACTGTTATCCAAATAATTGAAAGTGTCTGTAACATCTTTTCCTGTAGACACATGGCACAGAGGGGAATTAACAGGAGATAACTGATAACTGACTTCCATTAAACATGGCACATGGAACTAGAACAGTCTACCCCAGTGAGTGAAATAATGGGTTCAGTTCAACATTCCAACCACCTGAAGAAGGCTAGAACATACAACAGCTGAAACATTATAAATATGGTGACAAAGATAGGACAATAGTCCAAATAATGTAAATAGTGTACATAATACCTCATCTCAGAAATATACATATAATCAAAATTGGATTAAAAAAGTAGTATGAACCTACAAGTGAGTTTCATTTTTTATTATTACTTTTTTTCTGTTTTTCTGATGTACAATGTCTTATATAACCTTGTGAAAAATCAATATTTTGACTGACTTTATTCAATACTGAGTTGAACAGTCTTTTTGCATACAAGTTACCATGTTCTTTATCAATTTCAGTTTACTGAATGAACATTTTGCTGAAGCTGCAGCCGTTGTAAGAAAAATTCAGAGTGATGTTCAAAAATCTAAACTAATGTTTTCCATCTTGTAGTTCTATATTTTTTAAAATCCATTAGCATAAGTTGTAGTTTTCCAAAATTGTCAAAATAGGGTATAATAGCTTTCATGTCTGTAATTTGTTTAAAAGTTCTTTGCCATTTACATCAATATTGTAAATTTCTGCAGACAATACACAATTTGGGATCAAAAGATTTACTGATATAGACAGGTATTATCAAAGGAGTGAAAAAGTATCAGAAATTATCTTTGCAGTTTCAAATATTCTTGTCAGGCTAGCAGTGATAGAATTGACAAAGACAAAAACAAATTTTCAATATAATGAGTCTGCATGCGTGTCAGAATCCATTTTCTTGCTTTCATCATTTGACTGATTCTCATCATAAAAGATTATTTTGCTTTCCCTTGTTTGATTGTAGTTTAATTTCAAATTGTCAACTGTTGATGACATAGTTTGATTCTGTCAACAGTGTTCTAAATTAATCAAAGCAGTATCTGAGATTTTTTTTATTAACATTTTAATTTTGCCCACTTCATTATCAATAGTTGTATCTTTTTAAAATGTTGTAGATGTTGATAGAGAGAAAGAATTTTGAACCAGATTGATGCAACTGAAAAAGAACATTTAATCATTCCTGTTATTTCATTTCATGTCTTTGAGACCAGATTAAATTTTAAAACATATTCTAGAACCATTTTAGTAACATTGGTGATTTCATAATAACAATTCTTATTGATTGTCAGTTTCTTGAAAAGTGATGCAATGATTGAAAAGCTGTCTATTTCATAAGAATTTCCTTTTTTTTTGGACTAGAAGAAAAGATGTTAAAGACACTTTCAATTATTTGGATAACAGTAACTGCTTCAGGATAGGACTCTACTGAATCTGTGCTACACAACTTCTTTGTACTTTGCTGGCATCATTATCATATACTTGACCTTAATCAAATTTGCAATGTTAGAACCTGTTTTGTCATGACATCTTCAAAAGATGGAAATCTTTCTTGAATCTTAAATTCACAATCTATATATTGAAGGTAATATATAACAAATATTGTCCGCCATGGGCCAGTGTATGCATTGAGAGATAAACACATGTGTCTTCTGAAATGCCCTCAACAAACATGGCAGACTTGGGATGTAAGATGATGTAAAGAAATGTAAAGAAACAACAAAAAACCAATATATATGTACAAACAAATGAAAATGTATTAACAAAAGTATACAAGTGACAAAGATGTGTGTATCAGATGAATGTAAAAACCTAATAGTCCAAAGTATGTGTAGTGAGTGAATATACTTACGTATGTGTGTGTGTGTATGTATCATTCATGCATTTCCCAAAGAGAATGCATTTTCTGCAATAGGTTACATGTTGACGAATAAGCAGATAAGGTGAGAAGAGGGCAAGAAAAAATATCGCCGAGTATCCATAGTCCAGAAAGCATCCCCTAGTAGTGGTTTCAAAAATTAGGACGAGGTAACCTAACAATACTCCCCTCCAGGTGGGTAGAAATTTTTCCTGTTCATATATAAAGTTTGTGTAGTTGTTTCTGTCCTGAAAAGAAAAGGTGTCAGAAGTGTGGTTGAGATGCATGATTAAATACATGTTGATGAAATGTATTTGTGCTGTCATCAGGATGCTGTATTATTTTCTAGTTGAATGTAGCATGCTTTGGAAAATGCATCAGTAGTGTAAATTGTTCAGCATTTGCTATTAAAATTTGTCTTTTTCCAATGCTTCACATTGAATTGGTTTTGTCATCCTGTTGTATTTGTTCCTTGTTTTTGGAAAGACCTTTTTGTTTGCTATATAAGGATAATGTTGTTGGCACACAAAATTTAATAGGAGCAGCATTGTGGCAAAGTTGAGCCGATGTAGAATTTCTACCAAGTGTCGAATGCATGTTTCAGAACTTTAAGAAAATTTGCTATTATTGTTGATTGCATATCGTACGTGAAAATTCTTAGTGTTGTTCAAATGGCATCATCAAAAAGTGAAAATAAAAGGACAGTGAGTCGTCTTTTGAGATATGTCATACTGATGAGCCCAGAAGAAACTGTGTTGATTAAAGTTGAAATGGAGTTGAATTTTCATTTTCTTGAAAAAAAAGATTTTGTAGTGTCTGCTGGTTGAGGTCAAGTCAAGCATAATGGTACTGTGTTTGTTGTTTGCTAGAGTTGATATTTTCAAATGACTGAAAAAGATGTTGACGCATACTGCAGGGTCAAGCAAAAAACACAGTAGGAAAGAGGTATGTATTGTTGCCTACTGTTAGATCAAGTTGCAGTAATTGAAAGGCGAATAATGATTTATTTTTTCTCTTCGGGTCCCACCTGTTTGAAAAAACATCTATTTGCTGAATCAGAGAACATCATGTGTTGTGTAGATATGTTGTAGTATTTGAACTTTGAGATTTTGCACTTTCATGGAGTCTAATCAGAAATTTTGTAACTGTATAAATTGTTTTTGCTTATACTGTCCATCATGCTGATAGGGTAGGAAGAGAAGTTTGTTGATGTTTTTCTTTGCTGGCTCTCATTTGAAAAGGTGTGTAAATGTATATTTGAGTTTGTACATATATAGTCTTGAGTGTTTCTTGTTTTGAGGAGAAAAATAATGATCATGTTGGGCATCAATGACTTGTCGCAGGCTGGTGTATGCATTGAGAGATAAACACATGTGTGTCCTAAAATTCCCACAACAAACATGGCAGACTCAGGATGTAAGTCCCCATAAAGAAATGTAAAGACATGACAAGAGACAATATATGTGTACAAATAAATGTTAATGTATTAACAATAAAGGGTTACATGTGACAAAGATGTGTGTATCAGATGAATGTGAAAACTTAATGATCCAAAGTATGTATAGTAAGTGAATGTCCACACGTATGTGTGTGTGTGTGTATGTATTGTTCATCCATTTCCAAAAGGGAACATTCTCTGTGCTAGGTTACATGTTAACAAATAAGCGAATAAGGTAAGAAGAGAGCGAGAAAAAATATTGCTGAGTATTTATAGTCCGAAAAGCATTTCTTATTAATGGTTTAAAAAATTAGGAGGAAGTAACCTGACATGTTCAACATGAGCAGAATCATGTATTGAATCAACTATTATTGAATGATATTTTGTCTTTGATCTTTGAAAGACTGGATGTTTCAAAATGATATTGAAGCAAAGTGAAATACATTTATTTTGTGTTTTAGCTGATAAATAATGTATTTGAAAGTTTTCTTATTTTTTCTGGTTTACTTTGACTTTCCTGGTATGATTTTCAATTACAGGATCCTAATGATAGAAAAGTTCAGTAAACCCAAGCAAGTTATCATTGTGAATATCATGAATTGGATGTGATAGAATGCTAACCAGCTTTCATCTCAAAATAATGTCAATTAGACTGTGTAAAATATTAGTCTAGTTAGCCTCTTCTGCTATTAATTGTTTATACAGGATCCCTGTATTTATCTTAAAGAATTCTTTGTTAGAGTTCTCTTCAAAATACTTAATCCAATTTATTTAGAAAATAACAATAATAAATCCTTTCACCACTCCCACAAATTCAAGAAAAAGATTTTTGCAAACCAGTATGAAATTATTTTCTAATAAATTCACAAAAGTTCACACCTCTATGTGACATTAAGTTTTGGATCCCCCTTATGGATATAAAAATAGAAACATACTGCTTCTCAGGGTTCAAAATAATTTCATAGGCCAGTTTGATCTAGATGTGCATACACTCACACACTTTTTAAAGAGATAAGCCAGCAACTGCCAATTAAAGCTTGGTCTACACATTCACAGACACATTAGGCTGGCCGTCATAAAGCAAGTCTGTCCTCACATCAAACTACAAACACTTAATTAATTGATAAAACAAACTTCACTGCAAGGAAAATTGAACATTTTATTGTTATTGTATATTTCTGAAAAGAATCTATAAATGTTGTTTCACCTGACATTTTGCTTCTACTTTTCCTTCAGAAAATAACCTTTTTTATGTTTCATTTAAAAGATGTGTTGTTGTTGAATGTTTGAAATCCTGACATTCAGATAACAAAAACTTGGGTAGATGGATTCCCACAAGTTAATATAGTAAATCAAACCTGCCTTGTTTCTTGACACTCCACACTAGCCAATCTCTCTCAAATATTTTACTCTTGGGATGTGTTTAAAGATGTCAATTGGAAAAGATTACTATTTACTGTTGCTTGTTTCATACACTTAGTGATGGTTCATTTCACTTTTTTATATCTTACGTTCATCATGGTTTTATTCTGGCTATTGATCATTTCTTACAACATAGTTTAGCTTCAATTAATGTCTTGATTTCTATTTGTTAGAGTAAAATGTGGATGCAGTTATTTCCCTTTTTAAAGAACTCTCTAAAAAGGGGTTAATTTTATACTTCCTGTATATTTTATCTGTTGTAAATCAGTTGGTGAATAAACCTGTTATGTTGTACATCTCTTGATCCATTCTCTTTCTACATACTTCTTGTCATAAAATGTCCACTTACCATGCAATTCCAACACTATTGATCTCAACTGCTTTGCCTAACCATAAAGCATGAGCCAATGAGAAATATCCAATACAAAATATTACAAACCACTTAATACACATTTGATCATTTGCTGTACCTTCTCTGTAAAATGTACAATTTCTTTACATTTGAATTGAAATTTCTTTACATTTGAATTAAAATTTTAGCATTCTTAAAATAATAAAAAAAACTACAAGAAAAGTATTGAAAATGTTGCTTATTTTCTTACTGTTAGAATTAATAAACCATAATATCCCAGTTTTAATTTGAAAAGAAAATGCATACTAATATATCAGCTGTCCCTTAATACAATGAAAATTTTTAAATAAAGTTAAAACTAAACATTCCTAATGCCATTTATTGAGAAAAACAAAACAAATTTTTTGCATCCTCCTCAATCATATATCAGTCCTATACAGAAGTATACTCATCTGACATAGACTCCATCAGTTAAGACACCTTTCCTTTTGTTATTTGTAACTTAGTTATTCAACATCTGGAGATTACAAGAAATTTACTGTAATTTGAAAACAATAATTCATTTATTTAAATTTTTGTTAATTTAATGTTGAAATATTTTTTAGTGGTTTCTTATTTTTCAGAGTGATGAAGTGAGTAGCTCAACTAGTGTTCCAGACAGTGGCATTTTTGAGGAATTGAATGGCATGACTCATCGCCATCCTTCTGTGAGACTAGCATCTTCAAGGGGTCAAAGAGTTCAGTCTTCAGTGCCAGTTCACACTGAGAGTTCTGATGGACCTGCTGCTATGGATAATTCTCCAAGAGTTTCACTTGCACCTAACAGGTATTGCTTATTTTGTAAGAATCCTTTTGGTGTTGACTCTTTCATTTCATTGTTTTCATGTTATCAGCAGGTACCATGATAAAATCGAAAATTGCTATTTGCTTTGAAAATTAATTGTTATGGGCAATGATAGTCAATAAAAACCAGAGTTACAAGAACCAAATATAGAAATGACAAATAATGTTTAAAATTTATTTGTATAAAAGAAATGTTGCATGAAAATCAAAAACAAAAAGATTTTTATTATACCGGGTGCGATGGGTAAATTGTCGTCATTTTATATTTTTAATTTCTTGGATACACATTTGTTTTGTTTTTGATTTTGTTGACTGCACAGTATAATAGAAAAAGAGCACCATGATGCAATTCACTTCACCAGAAATTTGGAAATGGCATGCTGTATTGCTTGGCATTCACACCAGATGTTTTAATATGAACATTTCATGGTGTTTGGGTGTCAATCTGAGGACAGCACTGATGATTCGGAAAGATACAAAATGTTAAAATGAGATGTCTGTTATTTTTATTTTTGCGTAATTTAGACAACAATTTATCCATTGCACCCTGTACATATGTAATATTTTAGCAATTTTGTTTACTTATATCAATAAAGTAAATGTTATGTACAGTGGCCCAAATCTAAAATGGTTCCTCTGATAAATGGATAAATTACAGATATGAAGTTTGTCTGGAATGTATTCAGCCATTTAATATTAATGAAAGTGATGTAATGGAATAACCTGTCACCCCCATGAGTGACTACACTATAGGAAGTAACTACTTATAAGTATCTGTAAGTCAATGGACTACAGAGATTAGCTGAAATCTTTTCATCTCAACTGGGTCAGTTTTATATTTCCCATGTCCGTATATTTTTTTTTTCTTCTTTCCCACTTCCTTAGTGAGAGAGCCTCTTGATTTTGTCCAACGGGCAGAATACAGCTGCCTCTCTTTTTGAGGGTTGGACAAGCCCTACTAACATCAGTTATGTTTAGTTTGACTTGTGTTAATTTTAGTCTGTTATTGGGTTCATCTCCCTCCCCTCTTATTTTATTCATCCATAAATTTTTAGGTACAAATTTTATGTCATTAGATTTTTATGGTATGGGGCACGTTTTGTAGGTCTCCCTCCAGAGAATGTGGTATTATGGTGTATGGAGGATTGTTTGGTGATGGACGAGTTCTTATGGTGAATGTGGTAATTGTAATGTATAAATGGATCGTGAATCAGATTAGCTAGGTATAAGATAGTTAGTAATGACCAGCCTCAACCGCTCCCCATTTTGGCCTTGTGCCACAATTTGTATTTTTTTTTAAATACAATAAATAACGATTAGCTAAAATCTTTTTTGGCTGAGCAGAGAGGATCCCCAGACAAGGCTATGCCAAAGGGCAGAGTCTCATCTTGGGAAACAGGTACCCAATACCGTTTTACACAGGTTCTACGGGAATTTTTGATTGAGCCTACGGGCTTTGGGCCACATCTTATCGCGTGGGGAGGTTAGTAAATATACTAGCTGGGATGTGTTGAGTACAATTCAGACTTACACAAGAACTACTAACCTTCCAATAGTATCACTCACTACTGGATCGACTTGCGACGACCTTGTGCATAACTGTTACCTTTATTCTTATTCTACTGGTTTTTTACAATAAACCTTTACTTATTTTATCCACCTTGATTTTCAAATATATATTCCTATTAGCATAGAATATAACAGAAATAAAGTAACCTACCTAGAGCAAAGGTGCCTTAGTCCTCTTCAAATTATTCCTCTTGGGACTTCATACACCTAACTTAGCATCCAATTCACTTTTAAAGGTAGTCTGCTAAATCCTATTAAAGAATTTAGTTAGTTGCCTTATCACATTTTTCTTAATCTCATTCATAGCACTACAATGGCAATTTTAGTTCTGGAAAAAGACGGAATTAACAGGGAGCCAAATCTTGATTGTAGAGATGTTTTAGGATTTTTACAAAAAATCTATTCACAGAGTTATTGTAAATGTGACCATCACACAATACACAATGAATGGCATCTCACTGATGACTGAATAACATCATAGTTTGTGCATGTGAAGTAATGTCCCTGCTGGTTGCCAAGTCACATCAAGACTACACAAAATTCAAAATGGCTGGATACATGGAACTTGCACAACAGATTTTGTTTGGATCTAATCATATGCAACATTAACTTAATTCTCAGGAAAGGCCACACTCTATAGACTGCAAGTAGAATTGTTTTGTTGCAAAAACCATCATGTTTGTTCCCTCATCACAAACAGCCAAAATGTGTGTGTGTACACAGATACCACTGATCCTATACAAAGCACACAAGTACTCTGATCTTCAGCAGAAATCTTGATTATATATATATATATATTTAAGTGACATTTTATATTTTTCATATATATATATATATATATATATATATATATATATATATATATATATATATATTTCTGTCATATATATATATATATATATATACATATGTATATATGGGGTATTGCTGCTGTCTCTTTGCAATGAATTCGATCTTGTAATCACCAACACAATTTTCCAACAACCAACTAGTTTCAAAACTACTTGGCAACAACCTAGATCAGGGCACAACCATCTCATTGACTACATCATTACTAGCAATCAGTCGATGTTGGTCAGATCACAAAATTGTTTGCTCACATATAAACCTGACATTAATTGGTTAATCTAGACATACCCATAAGTATATTTTTAATTCTGACCTTATAGCCCCTACCCTAACTTACAAAAAAGAGGTTATCTACCATTGCCTGAAGAAGTACCATCTTAGTACTGAAACATGAAAGTTTTCATGTAGCGATGTAAAATGTTTTTATCGTAATTTAGTATAATAAAAATATTATAATAATATTTTGTTCTATTTTGTATTGAACACATTTTAAAAAAATAAATGCTATGAATTGTGGACTTTTGCTCCATCTGTTCTTTCTCTCATTTGTGTGTGTGTATATATATATATATAGGATCAATGCAAATCAAATTTGTCACTCAGCTGCTTGATGTTATGTTCACTACCTTGACTCCAGAGTTTCATAGACTAACTTTTCCTTAATTGTTTAGTTAACTTTTCAGGAGGTTTCTGCATTTGACTTCCATTTTTATCAAATAAGTTTCTTTTCTGAAAGTAATTCAGGTATAATTGTTTAACATAAATAAACTTTCAGTTTTTTCTTTATCTATTAAGCATTAGATGTGTTGAAAAGTTTCCAGAAGAAATGCATTTTCAGCACAGTATTCAGTCATTAATTTTCTAAAAGAGTGCTTGGAACTTTAGTACATATTTAATAAGTACAGCACACTCCATGCACTGCCCCCCCCACCACCACCACCACACACACACACACACACACTTGTATCAGCATACCTTTGGGTGCAGGTGGTGATCAATATGTATGTTTTTTAATGAATGTCATTTTCATATGGACAGATCCAAATTAAGTAGAAAAAAGAAAATATTTCTTCCATATCTTCAAGAACTTTTTTTATATTAATATTAAAAACTAATTTGACAGATTTCCTTTCATTTCTTGTTTGAATGTCAATACACCAAATTTTACAGCTTCTATTTTTGTCTTCCTTTCATTTTCTGTTTGCTGTGAATGAATTCAACAAATTAAAGACAGCAGAACTCTTCAGGTTTGGCAGAAATATCATCACAAAGCACAGAGGCAACATTGTTAAATTCCCACATTGATGGAGATGACAGTTTTCTTTGGCAACCTGCTATGACCACTTTCCATAACTTTTCGGGTCATGGACGTTCTACAGAATCGGAGGCAATAGAGTACAGTTCAGAAAACAGTGATCAAACTGATTTGGACACAAGTGAGAGATCAGTGTTGATCAGAAGAGCAAGACCCAAGTCTATACTGCGAAGAAAATATAAACCTTCAAAAAGTCAACCAGCTTCCAGTAAGTCTTCATCTTTAGAAAGTCTTTTATCCTCAAAGAAAAACTGATTTTACCAAAATATGAAAATATTAAAATATTCAATTAGTGAAAGGTTCTGTACAGTCACTAATAAGAATTTGCTTTTCTCTCTTTAGGGGTCCTCTTCATAAGCATGCCCCTGTTATTACACCTGCAATTCTTTTATTTATGACAGATTCTGAATTCTGCACATTTGGTTGGTTTCCATGATCAAACCTCAGTTGTTTGCACAGTTCCCAGTTGATCATCTTTCCTACCCAATCATATTCTATATTCTTACTCAGCTAATTTTCTAAATATTGTCAAGATTCTACAATTTTTTCATTGTTTTAATTTTATGTAAAATTCCCTAGCAAAAAGAAAAAAAACCTGATTTTTAACTGTGTATTCAATCTCTTATTTACAAAGAATAGTATTGAGAATTTTTGTACATAATATTTATTTACTAATTGGTATATTTTTGCACAAATAACCCAAAATGATAATAATTAGAAAAAAATTCTCATCATGATTGCCACTCCCACCTGCTGCACTCTCATCCTAGAGGAACCACCATGTAATTGACAAACATCCAAGTAAATTTAGTAGTAACAGTATTTTCGCTTTTCCTGAAGTGTAAAAAGTGATACTAAACAAAGTAAAGTATAAATAAATATGGATATAAACAGAGTTTTTAATGAACAGAAATGGAAATCCACTTTTATTAATAAGTTAAAACAAACAGAAAATAATGATACCAAATAAACTCCTGGCAGACCATTTCAAAAAAGGGAAAACAGAATCAGTTTCACTTTTTGTGCTTTTCTTAGCACAAGACAAAGAACAAATGACATGGAAAATTGGTACCTGTTGCAGGAGGGTATTAATCCAGGTTTCTCCTAAAGGCTCCAGACTACCACCTTTCCGATTCCGACAAGTGTCATGAGT